GTAGTGCTAACTTGACACACGTATTTGTGTGAGTGTAGTTAGTGAATAAAAAAAGTGCTATTGTGGAAAAGTTTTTTGTTAATAATTTTTGATCGGGTGAAAAGTTAATTTCCGCTTTCGGATTCTTGTTATTGGGGTCCAGGTGCGTATAATGGTACCCCCTTTTCAAAATATTGTCAGATTTTGGGTGTTGAAAGCCCACCTAGATAATTACCCCTTCGGGTTCAAAATTTGTCGCCCCGGTTATCGAAATCTCGCCCAACAAAAATTATAAAAAATACTGCTTGTGATTTCTATGAAGCTGCAGATAGCTTTTTAGAGCAACTTCATGTTTAGGAAATCGCCCTCTAACTCCACCAACACCCGTTTTAACGTATTTTAAAATACCTATAAATTTTATTCTTTGGCAAATGCAACTTACTTTGAACATATACCTCTTGTCGTTTTCATCATTTAGCTGTTGTTCGCATATGGCAATTTCTGTGTCCAGGTTCTTGAGTAACGATTGTAAATCGCGAATCGTAAATGCATTCGTCTCCAAAACGGGCGAGGGGGGAGAACCGATTTGGTATGATCCATTATCAGAAGATTCAATATCTAGTTTCGTAGATTTTACACAATCTGGACCGCTTGACTTTAAAAGCTTTTGAAGGGTTCCAGATACAATAGCTTGATTTGTTCGCAACATTTTTAGTTTGTGCGTTATGGCTATTCGCCTATCGGGTACCACAGCCATTAAATTAAAGCGAATATCTTGTTCACCCGTAGCGATTCCCAAACGCTCTGCCATTACTCGCCGAAATTTCTCAGTCCAATCCTCATTCTCCTCCCATGGGCCGTGGTCAATTGGATATGGTTTCAATCCATCCAATTCAAATAAATGACCGCTTATAGGAACGTAGCTAACAAAATGAAATGCTTCTCCGGTAAAACGTCCAGTCGAAACGCCTGATGCAGCGCCTCTGTCTAATCTACGTTTTGCTTGTGGCATAGCATGCGAGTTATGGGCGCAGGCCAGCTCTGGTGTATTTCCAATTGCCCATCCCTTATTTTCAGGACACATACCTTTCGTATGAGCCTTCAAACGACTTAGTGTAGATCCAAGTTGCAAGTCCGCGTCGTTACTATTAAGAAGCACAGATAATAAAGCGTGTGTAGCACAACTGTTTGGAACGACTTGCTGAGCGAAAAATATACTAGAAACTTCTTCTTCGTCCTTTACAAATATTTCAGCAGTAGCCTCTACTATTTTCCTTCTTGCTCTTCTTTCCTCCATCCAACGAAAAAGAAAAATAAAACCGTACACTGGACCATCTATTGGTTTCTGAAGGTCATACACTTCTTCCACTTGAACATTTTTCACACCAAAATCCTCTAAGAGCAAAGTAAACAATCCAGGGTCGGACTCAAGTTCCAGCCAACCATCAGTTAATCGATTAATATCCACAGGCATGTTTCTGCAAATCTTCCAATATTATATGATGATCAAAGCAATGAAAATTCCCAAATGATCCCCTGCTGTAACTTCCTTTAACAAAGACAAAATGCTATTTTGTTTCACGCATTTCAAATCAAAACTGTTTGTTAAATTTGGGGTTTAATGACCGGATTAGGAATGCAACGATGCATCGATGTTTTCAAGACATCGATGTTTCGTCCAAAAAAATCCACGTTAATATCGATGTTTTGCTGGACGATACATCGTCGATACATCGACTAGGAAAGTGAAAAACATCGACATCGTTCTTTCACTCCGTTCGTATGGTGCCGAACGACCACTGGCAAGCGAGCGCTTGTTTTCGGAAGCTAGTCCAACCATCATTCGGGAAAGAGGCGGGCTTTTGGGGGCTACATTATAAAAGCTTGTTTTCTGAACTAATTCAAAATGTTTATTCATATTTAATTAAATAAGATTTACATATTTAAGATACATCATAATATTAAAACAGGTGCACGTTTTAAGCGGCTAAAAATCGCTTTGATTTTTAATGTTTTTTTTTGGCGGCTTTTGCGTTTTTTTTTTAAGGTTAAAAATCAAGGCGATTTTTTAACGGCTTTTTCTAAAAATTCAGATAAAAAAGTTCAAAATTAAGATAAAAATGTGTTGAATTTTTCAAAGTTTTGTATAAAGTTATGGTTTGCAGCGGATATGTGAATCTAGTTCTTTCGAGTTTAAAAAATATTTCAGGCTACATTTTATTTCGTGTAGTAGATGAGATATTAAACCATGGGTAAATCATCGATGTATCGTTTTTATAACCGATGTTTTTGGCATCGATGTTTTTTGCGGGAACATCGATGTTTTCAAACATCTATGGCGCATATTCATAGTCATATTTAGTACTCAACTAAGTCGAAACTATTCTAAGGGCCGGTTACTCAATGTCTGGTTAACACTAATCTCCGGTTAAACATAGTTATCGACGTTACCGACTCCCTGTCGTATGCATGGAGTCGAAAACGTCGATAACAATGTTTAACCGCAGATTAGTGTTAACCAGACATTGAGTAACCGGCCCTAAGTCACAACTAAAGCTATTCATAGTCGCCTTAGTTTCGACTTTTCTGGCTAAGTACCAACTTAAAATGTAGTTTCTGCTGCAGCTGCAGGAAGAAGTATTTTATCAAACTAGAGGGTGATTTTGATAATATTGAATAATCTCCAATTAAAATTTACAAAGATCGATCCATTTTAATCGGAAGATGAAATTAAATGCGTATTACAATTCGAATAAAGCTACATCACAATTTTATAATTGGAATAATTTAGATACATTTTCAAATAATAAGCCAGTTTCACGCTAGTTCTTTTAAAGTAAATTTGTGCATAACATTTAGATATCTACTATTTGTATGTTTCACAGCATGCTTTCGATAAACATCGACTTCACATCACTGCGGTTGTTCTGGCTATTTCACACAATTAACA